CTGGTGATAGGTAACTTTTCTGAGAAATACAATCGTTTTTAAATTATTATTTTATTCGAGTGTTGGAATTTATACTAATTTTATTCGTTTACTTTTTTGACTAGTCTAATTGATTTTTAAAATGTTTAACTATTCAATATTTTAAGTGGCCTACGTGTTGTTGTTATTATTATCTAAATAAACAAAAAAAAAACATTCTTGAACTTGATGAAAAATAGACGTACAAGTACCTACTAATTATCTCATATAATAAATAAGGTTATAGTTTTTATATGTTTAAATTGTAAATTTGGGACCTGCAAGTGTGGTACGGTGGTTGGCCGAAGTCACTTACTGGTTCTGAGGTCAACGCGTCGACCGGCGTCACTAGCTCCTGGATGGGTGACCACCTGGGTTCTTAGTGACGAATCCTCGTCCTATTTACATGTGTTTTAAACCAAACAATAAAATCAGGTTATGCAGTTGAACCATTGAAAAAAAATTGCCTCTGGCCTGGTATATTATATGCACACACTAGTCGTATACTAATGTAATAATACCAAAAAATAACATTTATATTTAGAATACACAAAAGTGTATTTTGGGGCCTGGTGTGGCGCGGTTGTTTGCCGTGGTCAAACATCGCCTGGCGTCACTAGCTCCTGGATGGGTGATCACCTGGGTTCTTAGTGACGAATCCTTGCCCCACATGTTCCACGTGTTTCTAAACAAACACAAGTAATATGGGCCATAGTTGCCAATAGATTTGTTAAAAAAAAAAAATGTGTAGGTATTATGTAATAATAAAAATAATACGAAYCAAATTGTACATTGCTTAAGTCTAGAAAAGATATCAGAATTCATATAGTATAACTTTTCAATAATAATAATTAACAATAAGTATGTAATTTATGATATTTTAGATGATTAAATTTTCTTCTGGACACTTGATCTTTATCACATAAAAAAATACAGACACTGCGATGTAAATGTTACGTATCACACAGCAAAATGTTATGTTGAAATAATAAATAATAATATTTTATTGTAGAAAAAATTATGCAAAAGTCTTTTAGTTAATTTCAATTAAAAAATATTCAAAATCGTAATAATTCAACTTCAAGTGTCGAGGATCGTTTTTGTTTTAGGTACCATATTATAAAAAAAAATTATCATGACGCCACATGACGTTTTTGGGGCCAGAAAAGTATAAAAACTATAATTTTAGTGTGTTGGAAGGGGACATAATTTAGGTAATAACTCATTTATGTTATATTAATTATGTTACAAAAGTTGTTTTTCTTTAATGGGGATGTTTCACTTGTCCAAGTATTTAGTTATTCTTACAAGTGCAAGACATAAAAAAAGAATATGTTCAGCGTTACCTGCAATAGGATCATCAGTTTTTAATAATAATAAGTAAATTCTTTTCAACAAGACTTTTGTAAGTCGGAGACAATACGAACATATACATTTTTAAAACTCATTAGTTATTACTTCTACAATTTACGCCCAATCATACTTCCATGTTTAGATCATATATTTTTATTAAAAACTTGATAGTATATGTACCTACTATGGATTTGCCTATTATATACACTCATCACGACTAGACACTCGTCTTATAAATATGTGCTTAAAATTAATAATTATACACACAAAAAGTTGAGCATTGCTCTATCCATACTATACGTATTATCTAAAAGGAAGTGGTACCGAARTCCTAAAAAYCTAGTAGGGGGAAAATATTTCAATAGGCCCTATATCTTAATAATAAAAGGTATTTTTAAGAGGTTAACAATCAATAGAACAACTTGATAAGTAAACACTTATATCGGGAACCAACTAAGGATCTTTTTATTCAAAGTGTCCTAGTTAATACCATCTGTTTGTCACGCGTTACCCAAATCCTATTGATTTTTCTACGGACATTCAGATTGATACTTATTAAACCCAGTGCCGTAGTCAGCCTTCCCGAGAGGTATTGGGTGTATAGTACTGTATACACTTTTTCCTTCCCCAAATCCTAACCCTGGCTACGGCACTGCCTTCCCCGCGGACATTCAGATGGTTAATTAAGTCATAAGGAGGTTTGTTTAGGTTAGGTACCTAGAGGCAATTGTAAGTTGAGCTCAGTTGATGATAGATGACTATCATCATCACTGGTCGAGACCTTTGCATTGATCTTTTCCTACTAACTATTAAGATAGGTATTCGWTATTGTAAACATAACAATRAAAGAAAATATTTAAAAATTAACGAGGAAAATATTAATTCTATACTTAATATATTAGTAAATAATATATACTTTTTTTTGATTTTATAAGTAATATTTAATTAATTATGATATTATTTGTACCATAATATGATTAATATTGTCGTAATTTTTAACACGATTTTAAAACAATATTAGTGTTAAACCAGTATTTCGTAAAAACTAACTAATGTCAAACACAGTAAATAATGCGTCCTCTGATCATAATTTGTACCATAAYTTTAATATCTAGAATACTATATAATAGGTAAAATCATTGCAGTCCATAACTACGAGCCTTATTTCCTCATTTTTAAAATTGTTTGAAATTTAAATGAGTTTTATAACGTTCACTCACGTTACCCTCATAATTTATATTTTCATTAAATAAACTGAAGTAGGTATGATAAACAAAATTATTAACAATACATAGATCATCAATGAATTTCAATTAATAATCATCACATTCTAACAGAGAACTGTCTAAAACTTTATTCYTCAACGAACTAATAACTGTAAATAATTTGTTGGGATTAGKAGATTGAAGATTATGGACTGCAATGTAARGTTATGATTTAAAATCTTTTTCAATTTCTAATCTTCTWAATTTAACAATTGCTAATTTTTGTGTGCACAAGATTGAAAGATTAATAATGATAGGTCTCATTTTGTTAATCTTAGTAACTAGTTAATTGAATTCATATTTCTTAACATT